GGAAAGTTGTGCATAATTTGTTGATACTAGAAAAACATAAGTTTAGTCCAGGTTGGCTTGATTCCTTGTGGTTTCACATGCCTGCATTATGCATTACATGCAGGTGCACACTTTGCATGTGTAATGCCTAGGATTTACATGCACTGGATGTGCATGTTATTTTGCAGTACACCTGAGCAACCCTGTAACTTGCCAATCATCAGACATATTAATTAATACTGCAGTATTTTTGATAGCATCTTTTTCCAAACAAGAGGATCAACAGAGCTAGTGACTTATTTTAAGGAGAGCACTAACTGTCCTTTGAATAATAACACCAGTAAATTGTATTCATGCAAGACTGATTCATACAGGTGTAACCAGTGGATGTTATCCAGATTTTTGGAGTGAACAGCAATACTGCTTCTTCTCCTTCTTGAGATGTATATCTTTTGCATGTTACCTCCACTGTTTGCTCAAGTCTCCCAGTTAGTCTGCTAGTACCCATTTACTATTTTCCTGGAGGGAGAGATCGGCATGGCATTAAAGCCCTCCCAAAATTCAAGTTTTATTTTCAAAATTCAAGTTTTGTTGTTAAACGTTATGTTTATGATTTAGGAATGAAGTTTTAGGAACAGAACTCCTTCTCTACTTTCAAATTCATACCTTATCACAATCAATTTAAATTTGAATTTTTGGCAGGGATTTAATGCCATAGATCAGAGGCACTATGAAGGTTAAGTGTCTTGTCCAAGAATAAAGCACAATGACTGCAGTTCATGCTCCTTCCAAAAAATTTTTATCCAGAGATTAGCACATTCACTATTGAGCCCCCTTTTTTCCCCACCTCAACCGGACACTCCCATTTCTAAATATCAATTCTTCGCTTTAAGTAGCATAAATTTCTCATAATTTAAGCTCTGAGAATATGACTTCCCTCCTGATGTTTTTCTTTCTTCTCATTACCTTTTCTGCTTGGAAATGTATCGTTATCGTAAGGAGAAATTAACTGTTGGTCACTTGTGGGAGTGAAGGGGTCACATGACAGCAAACATAGGATGTAATTTAGTGTTAACAACTGAGTTGAAAACGTAAATTAACCACCGTAAAGGGTAAAAAAGCTGACGTTTCGAGCGTAAGCCCTTCGTCAGAGCGATGGCGAAGGGCTAACGCTCTGACGAAGGGCTAACGCTCTGACGAAGGGCTAACGCTCTGACGAAGGGCTAACGCTCGAAACGTCAGCTTTTTTACCCTTTACGGTGGTTAATTTACGTTTTCAACTCAGTTGATAACACTAGATTACCTGCTATACTCTCTCACCGACGCAGCACCACAGTTTCTTTAGAAACTTACCCCCTTTATTCATTAAACACAGGATGTGTTCATCCTCACTACAACCACAGCCCTAGAAATTAAATGATTTTTTTTTCTATTTTTCACTCACAGCTATGATCCCTGACGAAGTAAAGAGGGACCTGTTGATAAGAATACGAACTTTCCTTGCTGCCAACTCGTAGCTTTTAAAAGTGCTATGTACGAAGAACTTTTTTAGTATTGCACTCTTTTTCATTTCTTTTTCGTTTAGTAAGGATTAATAAAGCATGTAAATTTGATTATAGTGTTCTTGATTTCGTTTTTGTTTTTGCATATTTCATAGATATGTACTCGGAGAATTTGTCACTCTTTTCATTTTATAATGAAATGAAATTTCTTGCTCTGAATAACAGCAGTACTTTCTCTACTTTACAAGTGCAAGTTTGCCTTTCGTCGTTTCTTTCCAGAAAGAGAAGTAGACCATATAAAAGAAAAAACTCAGTCTAATTTTTGCCGATTTTTAATGCAACGTTTGTTTATATGCCAGAACGTTTTGTGCTCATACAGTGGGCAACTGCTTTTGCAACTAACACAAAGTGTACTTAGTTTTCATTGGTTTCGTTTTGTCTTCCAAGTTAAACAGCAAAGGAATTTCGGATGTGAATATTTCGATTTACAAGTTCAGCTTAGTTGTTCGCTTCTGTTCCTTCGAATAAAGTAGGTTTCACCTCAACCGTCACGTCTCGTCCTTGGACTGTCATCAAACCAAGTTTCAGTTGTTGGTTCTCGTCGCCTTTTATGAGGGATACAGGCTAAATTTGGTTATTTTCCTCTGAGTTGTCGTTAAAAACGGGTTCAGCTTGAGAACTGGGTGTTTTCTTCCGTCAGGGGACAAGTGATGAGAGTAAAGAAGGATATCTATCAGGGGATTATTAGTTGATCCAATACCGAAATCTCCAAACTAACATCAAAAGCATACGAATTGTATGACAAACACTAAGGGGAATTACTCATGAAATATCGGAAGTGAAAGTTTACCGCAAGAGAAGACGTTTTGTCTCTCTAGCAACACTTAATTAGCGTTTTTTGTTTTTTCTTCGTTGGGGCTCAAATCAGACAATGTGTCAGAGTTGTCGGCTTAATTTTACTCACCCCTTGTCTCGTAACCTGCCTGGAAACTCTGCCTTTCCGTTGTACTTGAACACAACGTGTATGACGCTGCTCTTTAGGATGATGGCTTCCGGTTTTAGTGACCCACAGTAAACATAGAAGAATACTTAATCAGCCGGTCAAGAGTGTCTTGCTTCAAATAGTTAGAGCTGTCAATTATCACTGTGGTCACCTTGAAAACCTATGCAAGACGTCTGAAGTCAAATACATTATATCATTTTCAATCGCTACGATGGGAACTCGTACTCTTTCTTATTTTTCAGGCTTAAAAAGAAATGAATTGCAGTTGACTCTACGATAAAAAAAAATATACTCGACATCGTTTGAGTTTGGAACACGGCCGTTTCAGCCGTTATAAAATATTTTTCCAGGGATAATTATCTTTGCTTTGTTTTTTCATTATCGTAAAATGGACTTTTTAAGATAATCGCATCACTTAGTGATACTTCAAAGTGGTTCTGTGACTGTTCCCGAAAGTATTGTCATCAATTCAGGCGTCTCGAAGTTAAGGGTATAACTCCTAATTGGGGTCTTTATGATTTGACAACCAATAATTAAAAAATCAATCGATAAAATCAAATAATTGGATTTGTTTTATAATACATATCTTGTCTATTTTCGATGAGATAATTTTTAAAAGAAATGGCTTTTTATCAGGATTATATTTAAGACAAGGACATGTGTTGTTTAGAACAATCTCAGATGATCGGAACTGGAACCAATGTGTTATGCTCGATGTTATCACGCTCGTTAGAGCAGGAAGCAGGTCATAACAGGAACATTTTAACGAACATCGTTTCTACCAAGCTCCCAATTTCAATTGGAAAGAGGTTAAGTTTAGACAAACACCCAATATTTCTCATTTGGATAATTGGTGAAAACGTCAAGAAAAACCATGGGTGGTATCACCTGGTATTGCACAGTTTCCAACCAATCACGAAGTCCATTGGAGATGTAGTTTTCATAATAAGTGTCAAAACGTTGCACTTTTAAAGAAATGGAAGGTTTTGTTTATGAACCTCGTTGACGGGTGATGTACAAAACCAAATAAATTTAAATGCTATGTTTAATTCACTTACAAGAAAAAACAAGAGTCAAATAGATTGACCATTGCTTGGTTAATGAGCGTCACGGAGTCTTAATCAATGCAGTCAATCTTTGGAAATATCTTGAGAAGAGAAGCAAACCTGAAGCAACTCAAGGCGAAAACCCCTCGAGAGGGACGATCGCACTCAATGACATAAAAGACCAGATTATTTACTACTTTGGTAACGATACTGATGAATAACTTAACCCTTTTACTCTCAAGATCTAAGTATACTGATGTATTACACAGCTAGCCACACATTTCATATAACTCTTGTTCTGAGAAATAATTTGTTTCAATTAGACAATAGATCCTATTCTTTTTATTCTCATTCTGCTCATCATCCTTCTGTTTGACAGCGTAGTGATGATATGATGAGAAATTACTTATTGGTGAACACGATTTTCGAGGACGAACTGCCAGTGTCTGAATCAGTATTTTTTGTCCCTGAAGTGCAAATCATTATGGGGAGTACAGCGAGTGCAAACAACCAGCACGATCAGAGATCAAGGGAGAACCCTTAACTCGTGACTTATTTACGACCTCACCTGCTTGGCTTGCTTA